TCTTCGTACACAACGGGCCAAGATATTTCGAGTCCGGCATGGTTTCCTTCTGTTCCCTTGGAAATGGACCTAAACATGAAGGTATAAATGCGTGGGCTGTGCTCAGTTATTACAGAGAACTGGAGGCGATTGCATTACATTGAAAAGCCCCGGTTGGGTGGGATTAACGCATTAAATGGGCAATCGTGCGTCCGATTGTGTGCAATGTTTGCACGCAAATTTGCGCAAGAACACGTGTCTACACACGACTGAGGCCAGTGATAAAGTGCACCAGTTGGTGGGTTTTCATGCGCCTTCTGGCCAGCTTGTCGATTCATTTCAATTGGTGATTAATTTTCCCATTTATTTGTTTTGCCCATGCAGCCTCAGTCGGTGCTGGGGTGAAGTAATGAGGCATGTGATGCGGTGAGCGCCAGGCTCTTTCTGCAAACCAACCGGTTGACCGACTGTCTGGCGGACAGACGAGTCGAGCGAGCGGCGGTTGGACAGGTGGAGAGTCACAGCAGCGGGCAGATGGGCGAGATGGGAGAGAAGAGTGAGGCTAGAATGGGCGAGGGCAAGAGAGAATGCCTTCGCGACAGCCTCGTAGGGCGTGCATCCGCACCGCTGCCATTGGGATTGATTAGAGGCTGCAGTCGGTACCTGTTCGTCTTCTTCACAGTTTGCCGTGGCTTGCGCTGGCTGTCTGCGGATCAGTTTCTGGCACTTTGCACACTTCTGACCTGGGCATCGATCGAGTGGTGCAGGCAACCAGCCTAGCGACCTGATCTCGTGCCCAATGGTGGGCAAGTAGCGCTGGGCAGGACAGACGAGGCTCTTGCGGTCAGAGTGAAGACGGCTGTTGGTGATGCGGCACGTGGCAACCGAGAGAAGTTGAACGCTGGAAAGGGTCGGCTCTTCGCTGGGGACAATGGGTCGGCCATGAGGGGTTCGGTTGTCATTTGGTATTAAAGGAAAGAGATGTCAGCGAGGGTCAGAATGAATCGAGCTAAGCACCGAGACAATCGGTCGGCAAAATACAGCATTGGGTGTTCGTGTTTTCGTGCCAGTCTCAGACCAGTCAAGGGCCTGGATAAGAAAACCAAGACTGGCTCAAAAGTCTGCTTGCAAAGAGGGTTGAAGGCGGTAGATATTTCGCCTCTCCTCATCCTTCTCCTCTATCTCCTACCTATCTCCTCCTTCCGTCCTTCCGCTCTTCCTCATCTTCTTACTCATCTCCTCCTCATCCTACTCCTTCCTCCTCAGTTGT